GTAGCCTACCTTTACCCTCCGCAATAGTTGATTGGGAGTATTATAATAACATTATTAATAATCAATACTCATCAAGGCATGGTGAGAGACAGTTGTGTGAGCTGACAAACAATTAAAATAAAAAACACACACTTAGTCATTGTGCTTTGGAGTTTATTCAAAATTATAAATGAATGTGCTGCTTGAATACATTAACTGGCACATTTGGTATTCTGTCAACACAGGTTTTGATCCTGAGTTTAGGTGTAACATCAGTAGCGAACAGCCAAACACATGCTGATAGAGTTTATAGAATATTAAGAATTTAAACAAATGTACACAGGAAGATTCGTCGTCTTTTGGGAGGTGATGGAAACTACAGTCGTTGGCAGGATCAGAGACGGGCTCTGGCAGGATCACTCTGATTTCGTTTTCAGCTCAAAACAATCACGTTTAAGCCACTGAATTAGTTTAGTCCGGTTATACATACAACCGCGAACAGCACATGTTGCCCCTGAGCTCCGTAACGACATCTCTCATAAAGATTTGCGTCTTTAAATAGTAAAATAATTCTCCGAAAAACAGCTAGCCTCTTGGCTAACTAACACACAAAATACCATTGGAATGCTACTTCCGCCGCGTCACCGGAAGTTTCACCCACTTTATTTTTTACAGGAGCGCCCCTCGGAAACTTGTGGATATTTTTTTTATAAATAAACTATACTATTAAAATAATATTGTATATATAAATAATATTATAATATTATAATTTTTGTATAGTTTGTCTATACTCCTTGCTTACTCAAAATTCTACTTTATTTTATTTAATTTCTTTTGACTTTTCCCCGCAAAACACAGAGATTCAAATTATTATGACATACAACTTGTGTACAATATACAACATGTGTTAACAATATGTTCAATGTCATCACAATACAAATGAGAAAAGAACAATGATCTGAAAACTAAACTAAATAAATAAAAAAAAGATCTAGAAGAACATGAAGGCAAGATATTAATGTATACATCAGTTACACTATACAAATAGTTTCATTTTATGTTTAAATTTTCATAAGAAAAGTTTCCTAAAAATGTTAGGTAATGTATGGCACTGACATACAGATATATAAAACTGATATTTTAACAGATTTTTATAAAGTAAAAATAAAAAATAAATAATTTATTTGCAACCTTTATGTTAATCATTATATTTCTGTCATCAGAACAGCTAGACAGCTGATGGACAAAGTGCTGCGTTGTCATAGGAACAGGAACATCCTAGGTAAAAATAATTACATTACGTTGTCTGTTGTTGCTCCCTTCATCAAGTTCCAAACGGCTACATAAATGACACACTAGTGTCATGCTCACGCCAAATTCCCACTTGAGGAGCTTTGCCGTCTGCCCTTTGAAGGGAGTAGGGCATAGAGAAGCTCACGAGCAATAAGAAAGTCCTAGTTGGGTCCGTCACTTATTTGGTTCCCCGGAAACATTTCCGTTGTGCTCTGTGTTACTTGCAGCGTTTCTGTATTTGGTTGTGTTGTGAGGTTTTACAGCGCGTTTTGTGTATTTGGTTGTGTTGTGAGTACTTGGAGTACACGTGTGTTGTGGAACTGATGAAGATGTTTTTATTAATTTGCGGATGTTTTTTTGTATTTGCATGCGTTTTTATATGGGCTATATGCAAATATAGGCAAATAAGTTCTGAATTTGACGCAGGATGCTCGTCCATTTCCGGTTGTGGAGATTTAAGCGGAGGAGAACCAAGGAAAACGGGATTATCGCAGAATCTTCACAATTTACTGTCCTCCCGTCTTTGAAACGAAACGTACATACGTTTAGATGTAATTTTATATATAGTTTTGTTTATTTAATATAATTTTAAAAAGAAGCATAAACACAACGAAGGGTGTCTGTTTTATCTGTTTTTGTGACTAACGTTTCTTTATTATAACCATGAAGTATAAAAATTCAATATAAATTCTTGGTATTGCATTGGACTCTACGATCGGCGGAAGTTATCGAGCATCCTTAATCCTTCACCGGAAATACCGCCGTGCATAGAGCCCATTTGCACACGTTTTTTTTGTATTTGCATGCGTCTTCTTTAGGTTGCAACACGTTGAACTCTCTCGGCCACCGTAGAAAGTGATAGTAGCCTACTACAGATATTTCAAAATACAACAAAATATTTGTATGAAGTTGTAGCCTATCTATTGAATAAATGTCGTTTAACTTATATGCCGTTATTCATCAACGAATCCTGAAAAAGTATCACAGGTTCCAAAAAAAAAAAAAAAATATTGGAACACATACATTCCAACATTGATAATAACTAAGTATCTAATCAGCATATTAGAATGATTTCTGAATCCAGATACTATACGAAACTCATTCGAAGAGCTGTGAAATTACCAGGCTGTTTTAAGGCTCTGTCATTGACATTGACAGGCTCTGTCACCAACAGTGTCCAGCTGCAACGCACTAGTAGTCTTAACTAAACACAACGGTAGTGGTTCACTGTTAACTACTATAATGTAGTTTTTAGAGGCTACATTACCTTAGTCACCTTAGAAAGTTGAACTTTCGTGCGTTGTTCTGTTCCAGTGGACGCAGGGTGTCAGAGTCCAGTCGCGGCGCGAGGCTGGGTCCGCATAGCGCGCCGCTGCGCTGACCTGACCCTCGAGATACAGTTACTGCTCGTGTTATAATTAGGAAGACGCCGAGGACGCAGTCTGTACGGTTTCACGACGATTATTTTTGTCAAATTTTCCCTTAAGTACGATACGAACCGCACAAAAAGTAAAAAATACAGGTCAAACTATATTTGAAGACAACATTTGGATTATCCTCCACTTGGTAAAAAAAAAAAAAGTCCACTGGAAATGTTTGATTTTTAAAAATACTTCGTGAATCGTGACTTTCCAAAAGCTGTCCTCCTTTTCTCGGCTAGGAATTTATGTGAGAACTGAACTGTACGCGTCGCGCACCCTTGCAGTCCGCCTGTTGCGTCCAGGGTGCACGCGCAACGCGAGCGCGTGCAAAAAACAACATAGCCTACGCAGGCTTCGTGTTGGGAGGTTGTCTCGTTGTCTTGACCATAAGCCTTGCTGTTTCATATCTTTTATTATTTACAATTCTAAACCAGACAACGTTCATAAAAATACATGTACAGAGATACTTTTTCAAGGGTCTATAATTAAAATAGAATTAAAATAAAAATAAAAGGTCAATGCCTGTAATAGTAGTTTAACAGCACAATAAATGTTTTATGGTTGGCTACTTCAGATGGCTGTATGTAGGCTATACTGAAAGCTGTGCGCGACCAGATCGCTCTCTAGTGGTAGTTTCTGACAAGGTTGTGTTTGTGTGTGTAGTAGAGGCATGGTTAATTAAAGATGACCTCCAAACCAGATTTAATCAGAAATGGGGTCAAAACAGTATTTGAATGTTTCATTGAGTGAAAATCAAATCAGCTACTGAAAAAGAACTATTAAGCAACGACACTAACAGTCACAACTAGGCCTAATTTCTGACAAGAAAGATCTGATTTATACTCATAAATGCATGCAAATTAGGCCTATATCAAATATTTTCTACATTAGGGAAAGACAGAATAGATATTTTCACTCCCTGTGAGGAACCTGTCCTTTAAGAGGGAGGAATGTTGAGACACAGGGTTGATGAGGTTAAAGATGACAGCCTTAGGCGAGGTGACGAACATTATAGCACACAGTTTCAAATACTGTAACTCTAATAATGACCAATTGCTCTCGGTTTACTCCACCCATAACAAACACTGACGTAGCCATACACGTAACCACATTGCACTGCAGTAACACTTCAGCAGAACAAATGGACGCATTTAATTGAAAATCATTTGTTTATTTAAATCTGATGTGGTAACACTTCCCAAAGCTGAATTTGGCAAACCAATGCATAAAACCAAAGTATTGTAAACTTGCCTATTGCACTGAAACCTTGGCTAAATTTTCATTGATGCATTTTTTTCTTTTTTTGGTTATATTTTATGGACACAAATCTATTACAGCTTTGCTCATAATTTAAGAGAACATAATAAGATCTCATATAGCTTGATCACAGTTTTTTTAACCCAAGTAATCAGGGTCGGATTTGATTTAGAATTCAAGGTATTGATATACTCACTTTTTGCAAAACTAACAGCTTATCATATTGTTACATTACATTTCTTGATTGCTCTGTTATAGCTTTAGATATTTAACTAAACATATTATAAGAATAGAGTCTTTGGTTTGTCTAGCACAACTACTTTCGCAGTGGTATCAAGGTATCCTGGATTCAATAAAACAAACTACACAAAAAAAAAATGCATGGCTTGTTGGATCTGATGTCTAATGGATGACTATCATGGCATAAATAGCCTTTGATTCTGGATGGATAGGATCACCACCCCAACCCCCTCAAACAAAAACAAAAAAGTCTGCCGCACACATCCAGAAACATTAAAACAGTTCTAAGTCATGCCAAAAATGTGCACAGAATACCATTAAAATAATTGCTTCTAAATCCTTCTAATGTAAATTCCTTCATAAAAGATTGCAGTAACACCACAAAACAGTGCAATTACACATGACAAAGTTTTAAGAACTATGTTGTAGACTATATCCTTCACAAAATATATATATATATAGACTATATAAACTATCAAAAAGATACTATAACCCTGTTGAGGGGAAAACAGCTCATGGTTTTCTGGTCTTTTTCTGGCGGTCACGTTAGTCTCCCAGAAAATCCCTTTAAAACCTCCAAAATGATAAGCCTGACTATAGGCTAAGAGACTTTCAGCAGGAAAATGTCATTATTTCCAGGATTTGGAAAAAGCTTCCGTGATATGGATAATTTAGGCTATTCAAAGAGTTTATACCCTTAACTTCATAATAGGTCCTAAGTGCATTCATGAGTCAAAATGTTCAAAAGTGTCAGTCAGGAGGTAGTGCCGTATTTCGTGCTCTACCATCAGGTGTAAACCGAGGGTGCAGTCAGTGCGTTGATTGAACGTCAGAGGATTTGACAGCTGCAGGTTTCACATCACCTTCGTTGCTCTGTGGAAGACTCGCGCGTGTCTTCCGTTTCTCTTTGAAGCGACCGGAGCGGGACACAAGGAGATTACGGCGATTGGAGAGCTCGTTGAAAGTTGGCTGAACAGCGGAGTCGTCATAAGTTTCGTCGCTATCCAGGCAGTTGCCTGCTTCTTTCGCTGGATCTGTGGGTGAAGTGGGTTGTTGGTCCGGCTCCTGGTGTAGGTCTCGTTCCAGGATCGCTGCCGATTCTCTGGCTGTTTTTCTCCTCTTGCCCACGAAAGACCTCCACCAGGGGGCTGTTTTCTCCGTCATTGTGAGATTATCTAACCAGATAATATAGCCTATCAATACACAAGCACAATCAATTTACTACTTCAACATAAAAATTGAAACGCCTATAGGCTACTAGCTATATTTAGGTGTAGCTGCATTTTAATTGTTATTAACCCACGCTTATGACGCCATATGACGTAAGAACAACAATAGCTACAGCATGTCTATTCAGGAATAACAACAACGCAGTGTAATCCGAGATATTTTATCTGTAATAGATTTATTATGCTTTACTGAAATAGCCTGGCCTACATCTCCACCCTTCACTGGATCCATATTCAAAAATGGAAATTGCTTAGGGGTCAATGACAGATAATGTCCAAGATGGAGAAAACTTTTAAAAATGTAAACTTTTCATTCATGTCGGTTTCATAAGAATGCGTATACCATATTCTATCAAAACAGAATTTTGACAGATAGAAATAGCTCATTATAATAGGCTATAAGCCTGCAAGGCCTAGGGCCTGTCACAGAGTGTAAAAGCTATAATTAAACTTTAGGCCTATATAAAATTATTATATTGCATAGGCTATATTTTGCATGCGTGTGTGTGTGTGTGTGTGTGTGTGTGTCCTTAGCCTACTTGTTTATATATACAGGGGTATGGCCATGGGGTAGGATTTTGTCACATGACAACAATACGGCTTCCTTCATGTGGATTACACCAATTACATCAAAAGTGCTTTACTGTTTTTTTAAGAAATAATAATAAATCATAATAAAACATTATTCCAAACTATTTATGCAAACGTTATTTTTATTTTTGTTCGTTTTTAAACCTCCAAAGAGATCTGGAGAATTATAAGATGCACATTGACATCTTATAATTTAGGAACAAACAAATCCAATGACTTTTGATTCAGAAATTGAAATAGAATAACTATTCAAGTCATATGAAATTTTGTACATATTTTTTAATAACTTCATACAAAGATCAATACTGAGCGTCACGTGATACATGACAAACAAGGATAATTGCCCTGCGATGCAGAACAGGTTTAGAGCGCCATAACCCCAAGAGAGTATTTTACAGGTGATGATTCATGCCAAAACAACGAACCTGATCATCAGCCTGAGCGACTCACCTGGACAGAAAATGATGAGAACAAGATAAACGCTGCCCGAGGTTCCTCTAAATGAAAGGTGTTGAGACAGAGACGCTGAATCCTCAGAAGAAATCACAGTGCGTGAAAATCATCTTTCAATCCCACTTATCCGAAGACTTCAGTCTCTGAGACGCAGTTTTACGCATAACTCGAATGAAAGGATATCTTTTTGTCTCTGCGAACGTGTAACATCATCCTTTGCCCAACATAACCTGGAGGAGGTTCTGAACACACCACGCACAATTTGAACTTACGTGAACGACTTTATAGTGCCGTCGCAGTTTACAAAAGCACCGAGATTCCACCTCCGAAACTACAATGAGTGCACCTGTCCTCTCTTCTGATTAGTCGACCGGTCTGGGGATCGGTCACGTGAGGAGGATTCAGGTAATTCTACTATGGAGGTAGGTTGGACTTACGGTTGCCGTGGCAGCGAACAGCGAGTTGAGTTTTTCTTCAGTGAAACTTTTTTTTCACATTTTTTTTTCAAGGTGGGGAGCATTCTTGTGTGACCTAAACAAACGAACCAAACCCACAACTATGTCAATGTCTATTGATAGACAAGCTCGAAATTAATCGTCACTGTTGCTTAAACAATTTCATATTGCACAAAGGCAATAGGCTATCAGCTTCACATAGAAGAGTAGTGTTCCCACGAGTGGAGTGATGCCACATGCCGGTCTTAAATGTTACAGAAATGACAATGGAAAGGCTGTCATTCTTATAGCCCCACATGAATATAGAATGCAGTGTGTAGGATAGAACAGTGACTTGTTTTATGTTTGACACCACGTTATTGTGAATAACCAACTAATGGTGTCACAACTGTGGTGGAAGTTATATTTCACACTGGTCGACTGCATTAAAAAATGTTTAAGACAAAGACATTTCAGAGCTGAACAATCCAAGACAGTATAGATATCATTTGTAGGCAGTCTCATGGTACTGGCATTGTTTGAGGGAATCCCTTGAGGTCTTGCAACATTGAAACTCCCAGCTTGTCCTGAAGTAAGAGTTTAGTGTTAAACGGAAGTGTGGAATGATGCCAGTTTTTACAGAACAGTCACTACACACATGCTGGTACATAAAAAGTGAACCGTCAAGATTTACGACACATTATAATTTGTTAAGTAGCCTATCTCTTTCAGTCTCAATTTGTGTCTTCCTCTCTTTTTAACAAAGATAATCACAGATAAACAATAAATATAAATCACATTTGCAACTGAAAGATAAACATAGATTTGAGCATTAAGTGAGTGCATTTCCATAGCAACCTTTTCATTTCATTTTCAGTAATGCTGCTTTAACTATTTCAGCCCTGAAGCCCATAATAGGGTTAATAGAGGAGTTTTGTAATATTTAATATCAAATTGCAATCATTTGATGTTAAATAGCATTGATAATAAGTGTAATGTCACCAGTTGGAGTGCCCTTGAGAGCTACCTGAGGGGACTCCACACAGACTATTATCACTCCTTCACAAACTACATTACCAAAAACTCACAGCCCAGACTCATTATCACTGATTGCTTTCACCTGGGTCTCATTACCCTGTTAGTCTCAGGTAATTTAATCCTTGTTCACTCATTCACTCACGGTGACATTTTGTATGTTGTTACACTTCATTCTTGAGCGTTTCTCCCTGGTTTCCTTTCTCCTGGTTTTTGGATTTCCTGCCTGTTCTTTGTATCATTCTTCTGCCTCTGACCCCTGCCTGTTTTGTTTGTTTGGACTGCCTACCTGTGAATTTGACCTTTGCCTGTTTATTGGATTACATGTCTGGATTGTCCCTATTAAAGCTGCATTTGGATCTTAACTATCATGTCTCTGCAGTTATGACAATAAGTGATTATAATGCATTTACTACTGGAAAATCTACTTATATGACCTCTAGTTTTATATCCATCCATCCAGGGTGACCCAGCCTAAGCTGAGATGCCCAGACTTCCCTCTTCCTAGACACTTCCTCCATCTCTTCCGGGGGGACACCGAGGAGTTCCCAGGCCAGCCGGGAGACATAGTTCCTCCAGACTGTCCTGGGTCTTCCCTGGGTCTCCTCCCAGTGGGACATGCCCGGAACACCTTCCCAGGAAGGCATCCAGGAGGCATCCGGAACAGATGCACGAGCCACCTCAGCTGAACCCTCTCGATGTGGAGGAGCACCGGCTCTACACTGAGCTCCTCCCAAGTGGCTGAGCTTCTCATCCTATCTCTAAGGGATCACCTAGCCACCCTGCAGAGAAAGCTCATTTCGGCCACCTGTATCCGGGATCTTCTCCTTTCGGTCATGACCATAGGTGAGAGTAGGAACATACATTGACTGGTAAATCCTTCACCACATTACTGTCGAAGCTGCACCGATCCATCTGTCAATCTCCCATTCCATCCTTCCCTCACTCGTAAACAAAACCCAAGATACTTAAACTCCTCCACTTGAGGCAGGATCTCTCCACCAACCTGAAGTGGGCAATGGCCTCAGATTTGGAGGTGCTGATTTTCATCCCAGCTGCTTCACACTCGGCTGCAAGCCGTCCCAGTGCATGCTGAAGGTACTGGTCTGGAGGGTGGAACATGACAACATCATCCGCAAAGAGCAGAGATGAAATCACATGGTGCCCAAACCTGACACCCTCCAGCCCCTGGCTGCGCCTAGAAATTCTGTTAATAAAAATTATGAACAGAACCAGCGACAAAGGTCAGCCCTCCCGGAGTCCAACATGCACCGGGAAGAAGTCTGACTTACTGCATACCAAGCTCCTGCTTCGGTGATACAGGGACCAGACAGCCCTTAGCAAAGGACCCCAGACCCCACACTCCCGGAGCACCCTCCACAGGCCACCAAATCCAGAAAGCACATGTGGATTGGTTGGGCAAACTCCCATGAACCCTCCAGCACCCAGCGTGTAGAGCTGGTCCAGTGTTCCACGGCCCGGACAAAAGCCACACTGTTCCTCCTGTATCAGAGGTTCCACTGTCGGCCGTATTCTCCTCTCCAGTACCCTGGCATAGATATTCCCAGGGAGGCTGAGAAGTGTGATTCCCCCTTTAGTTGGAACACACCCTCCAGTCCCCCTTCGTAAAAAGAGGGACTACCACCCCGGTCAGAGGCACTGTCCCTGACCGCCATGTGATGCTGCAGAGCCAAAACAGCCCCAAAACATCCAGAGACTTGAGGTACTCAGGGCGGATCTCATCCACGCCCGTTGAGTTTCTTGACTACCTCGGTGACTTCAGCTAGTGTGATGGATGAGTCCACCTCTGAGCCCTCAGCCTCTGCTTCCTCAATGGAAGACGTGACGGCGGGATCAAGGAGATCCTTGAAGTATTTCTTCCACCGTCCGACGATATCCCCAGTTGAGGTCAACAGCTGCCCACCTCTACTGTAAACACTGTTGGTAGGGCACTGCTTTCCTCTTCTGAGGCCAGTTTGCCAGAATCTCTTCAAGGCCAGCCGATAGTCCTTCTCCATGGCCTCACCAAACTCCTCCCAACCGGGCTGCAGTCCGCTTGGCCTGCCAGTACCAGTCAGCTGCCTCAGGGGTCCCACAAGCCAACCAGGCCCAATAGGACTCCTCCTTCAGCTTTATGGCATCCTTTACTTCTGGTGTCCACCACCGGGTTCAGGGATTGCCGCCTCTACAGGCACTGGAGACCTTATGGCCACAGCTCTGAGCAGCCGCTTCGACAGTGAAGGTGGAGAACATGGTCCTCTCGGACTCAATATCTACAGCCTCCCTCGGGATCTGGTCGAGGCTCTGCCGGAGGTGGGAGTTGAAGATCTCTCTGACAGGAGACTCCTACCAAACGTTCCCAGCAGACCCTGACAGTACGCTTGTCACTATGTCAGTAGGTGGTGATAAGTTGAGAGCTCTG